CTTCACCAACACAGGCTCAGGGAGGCTAACGGGAGGACTGCGGCCACCTTCGTTCACAGCAACCACTCGGATCTTCAGGCGGTCACCAGTGGTTTGGTTCTTGATAACAAAGCGGGAAGACTTCTGCAGTTCCTCATTGACTGCTTTCCAGTCCTCAGCTGGATGAGAAAAATTACACACAATGACGAATGAGTTTAAAAAGCTGTTGTTTTTCAAAGGAAGAGTTTGCCCAATATGCAAAATGTAGAAAGAGTGAGTTTGATTTTGAGTGAATGTATACAAATTATCAGGCACTAAGAAAAATGTAGGACAGTGAGCTCTCCTTTTTTTTGCAGCGTTCATATTCATTAAATTGTTGTGTGGGTCTGCTAAATCAAGCCTGCACTGTATTGCTGCTGACATTAGCTTAGTGCTGTAAGTCTAAATGCAGAACGTCTAGCAAGACTGCAGCGGCTCCTGAAATGCCTCTTTCCTTGTAGGGAGAAGTTAGGTAGCTCGTGATATAACTCTGCGACTGACACTTCAGGAACAGCTGCTGCTGATGTGCCTGACACACTTTAAAACAGAAAAAAAAATAAGAATTTCCTGACTATATTTTGAAAAAATAAAAATGAAAAACGATGGTGCAATTAAAGATGCACGTTGTGAAACCCTATAATCTGCAGCTGAAAAAGTAATTCAAAGGTCAGCTGACATTTCTGTCAGGGTATATTAATACCACTATCTGACACCTTTCGTGGGCATGCTGCTATATGATGCACGTGGTTCAGAGAAGAGCAGGGCTTACTTCCATCCTTGCAGACTTCAATGGTGTACCCATCTAGACCTGAATCCCCAATGTTCTCTGGCTGGCTCCAAATGATAGTGACCGAAGTGTCGTTCTTATCCTCAACAAAGAGATCCACAGGAGCGCTTGTGGGCACTGCAGATGCCACATAAAATACAATTATTACATGAATGAATTTTAAAGACAAAGCTTATAGTATGTTGGAATACATTTTCCTATTTTAATGTTGTAATAAGTGCAACGCAAATGACAAAAAAACAATGAAATAGGTTTTTAAATAAAGTTTTCACTTTCAAGAAAAGGTTACCTTTGGGTGGTGGGGGCGTAGGTGGTTTAGGCTCTTCTGGTGCAGGTGCCTCAGCAGCTTCAGCTGATGTTAAACAGGCATTTGTATTATTGTTGACAGCATATAATGAGCAGAGCGACAGCATCAAATATAATCCAGCTATGCAACTCACAGCTCTCTGTCCCCTTTGCTGGGAATTCAAAGGATTAACAATGCTATCACATGATGAATTTCCATCCAGTTAGTCTCAAATGACAAAATCATCTGAGTTGTTAAAGAGAGAGAGGAGTGAAGAGGAACACGTTTTCTATTTTTGCAGGTTGGATTAACTCCAGCAGAGACTGCTGCTGGTGCAGCCTCCTGTATCGCTGCACTCACAGTAGTTATTATTAAGTGTTATATATTATCAATTAATGCATTGAGGAAGGTGGAACATGTTTTGAGACTAAGCACTGCAGAAAGTTTTATCAACAAGTCACTTAGAGTAGTTGCGAAAGCACTAATGAACAAGTGAAGTCCTTTAATTTACCATCATCAGTGGAGGCAGCTGGCAATTCCTCAAAAGCAGGAGTGGCAGCTGATATTAAGGGTTGGTGCACTCATTTTTATGGTAGAAGACATCACGGAGTGTGCATTTCCAGCATGGAGTTAAACGATTCAAATAAAAATGAACACATACTCCTCTGTGTGACTGTGAGTCAAGTCAGTGGGAGCATTGATGTTGGCGCTAGATTTCAAAATCAGTGTTCAACAAGACGAATTTAAGTGTTATTATTACTATAGAATTATAGTAATAATATAGAATATTATTATTATTATTATAGAAAAACGTATTTTAGTCGATAAACATGCACTGTCAACATACATTCCTACAACAAACGTTTCATAATGCACTGTGACTTTTAGGATTATCTGCTTGTAAAACATGCAGGCGATGCATGAAAGCACCTAATAGGAGGAACTTAACAAGTTAGCGTCATTATGTTTCTGCAGAAGGGCAAAAGTAAGCATTTGAACAGTTCGCACTGACCCCTCAGAAGTGCACGTGTCTAAAAGGTTACCATTGGATCAATTAAAGGGTTACCGACTTATCAAAAGTTCAGCCATCGAGAAAAACGATTAAAGGTGGGCCGTTTGAGACACTGCTGTGCACGGGTAATTACCAGGTGGCGCAGCCTCTCCCTCGGCAGCAGGGGCCTCTCCCTCGGCTGGGGCAGGCGCAGCTTCAGCCGGTGCGGGTTCAGCAGGGGGGGCCTCCACGGGAGCGGGTTCAGGAGCCGGCTCTGGAGCCTTTGCCTCCTCTTTCTTGGCTGGTTCTTTCTTAGCCGCCTTCTTGATTGGGGCAGGCTTGGACGGCATGTTGGAGATAGCAGCTAATTCCCAACTCGTTTAAGTCCTTCGAACTGTATCCAGTGCCATCATTCCTGCGGGGGTGGCAGGCTTATATATGGCTCGGCACTTTCAGACGCCGCCCCCTAATGTATTACATGTAATGGATACCGACACCATGTATAACTTAGACCCCACTCAATTTGTCCCAGTCTGTACACTGTACATACTATACATTATTAACGGCTTTACTAATTTAAAAAAAAGCCTTTTTAAATGAATTTGATATGATGATGAACTCTATTACTTAATGGTTATTGCAATTCCTAGTAACAGGTCACTCATGTCAACTTCAACAAGACGCAACAGAATAAATATAACATGTATTTTATTAATTTCAACAAACAGTGATAAGTGGATGAAAGCCTTCAGAAGCATGCCTTATCCATGTATTGGACCCAACTTTGAAGAAATATATCTTTCTCTCACAGATTTAGTTTTTCCTCCTCAGTGATTGTTGCCGCATCCAGAATGCTGACATATTTACAGACTTTACAATGATGCTCTGTACAAAATAGAGAAATTAACTTTTACAAAGGATTCTTTAGAAAAAAAAAAAGAAATATCAAATATCTGAGTATTAAAAAAAGAAAACATTATCATCTATTGTCAATGATTTTCCTAAACAATGCATTAATGTTAACATTTTTTCATCACACAGCAAGTTTACATGCATTTACAACACTTAGAAACCCTTGACATTTGCACGTTAGTGACACTGCATACAGCGTAACATTGTTTTCTTAATCTTAGTCCACAACAAGCTTTGCGAAAATATGACTATTCAGCAACATGTATTGGTCCAAGATGTCAAATTGTTTTTTTACTTGTTTTAATGCAGACTAACTGCGAACTATTTCCACCTCATCTTTTGATGAGGCAACCACTGGAACTGAATTGCTTTTTATTTAGTTTTTTATTGTCATTTGACGATTTACAAGTCCAGCTGCTTTACTTTAGTTGCCATTCATAAGGACAAAACACATCAGCTAAACTTATGAACCCTGTCTTCAATGTATCACCAAACAAATCCTCCTCTCTTTAAGGCTCCGTATCTCCAGCTGACACTTTTATCTTGTGGTGCAGTTTGGTCCGAATTAAGAACTCAAAGCCCGACCATATGAAAACACAGTGTTTGTTTGTGAATTTCATCATTGCTGATTGCCAACACCAGTAGAAGTTGCTGCATAGTCCCAGTACACTAGTAAGCAAACACAAATCACAGCTACCACAGAACAACAGGCACAATAACCAGTGAATGAGAAGCTGGAGTTGATGGCTTTAGTTAACCTGCAAAACAGATCAGAGAGGGGCTTGTAACACAGTCTGATACCTCACATATTTACAGTAATCAAAGTCAGCATGATGTCAGGGTAAGAGTCCCAGACACTTGACATCGTTTTTGCTCTTCGATGTCTTTTCCTCATTCATTTTTTAGTTTGCTTGTGACCAGTAAGAGCTGCAGATTAGCTTGAAAATTTAAAACCAGCCTTATACAAACAGTGCAATAAAGCAAATAAGCGTGAAGCATCTCAGACATAAGTTTTTAGACTTTCTTATTAAGCTGTCTTTAAGTGGTCCAACATTCATTTACAGGTTTTACTTCAGGTGAAGTTTAGTCTGAGCACCGAAATGTTGGGGATAAAGAATTACTTCAACACCACTTGCACAACAATCTGTCATTTACTCCATAGGGGGCTTGTTTACACACATCTACACCAAATTCTTCATAAAGCATTTTAATTCTTTTTAACTCTTGCCTTGGAATAAGCATTCTCTACTACTTGATTCTGCATCATGTGCCCAAAATCCTCTCAAACGTAAATACTGCAGGACATCAACTCGGGTATATACCGTATAAGATCTCACATGACTTCAGCCACTACAGAATGTCTTTAATAACATCTCCTATGAACTGTCACACATTTTCTTCCAAATATATTTCATATTTCTTTTGCGGTTGACAGAAATGACAGACAACTTTTTGCTAACCTACCCAGAACATCTACACAGCTTTTATCCAACACTAAAACAGTTTGGGACATTTTTAAGGAGCACCATGAGTACCGCACCTAAATGAAATCAAACATGAGTGGGGAGAAAATGTTCTTTTTGTTTGTGAAGCGTGTAAAAAATGAAACGGAAACAGGCAGCTCTAAAGCCACCCTGCTCAGCCATTAATAAAAGTGTTTAGCAGTAGAACTTTGATAAGGCTTACTTTAAAAGCACCTCCTACATGACTGTTATACGGCTGCTGTATAGGTATTTTCTATACATTCATAGTTGAACTTAAAACCCTAACTTGACAGTCAATATGCATGATTAAAGTACAGTATTTGGTTCAGTATATTCGATATTTGCACCAACTAATGTAGATAAAGTAACTGCAATGCAATCTGACTGTATTTACAGAATATACACAGTAACTAGTCTGAATGTTTGGGGAAAGACTTGAAATAGATGTGCCTTTTCCTACATAAATGTTCTAGAGAAACAATCTTGAATTGGATTTAAATAACATTTACTCGTTATGTCTTCATTAGAGGTTGTTTGTTAAGTTATATCATCCCTGTGTAGTAAGTATCTAATACCTGATACATATGGCGACATTGGTGGCACTACTTAAGTAGCGACTAAAACAAAATTAAGTGTGCAGCGACAAAGTGATGAACTTACATCACTGATAAATAAGTTCTGTTTTATGCAAAAGAGTATGACAGCAGATTTAACTCATAAACTATGAAGAAGATTTGCTGTGAAACGTAACCATGATGAACTGTAATATATAATATAGAAAGCTAAAGAAACAGCTTAGGATGTGGCTGTCTTAGGATGTTATTGATAAAAGCACCAGTATATTCTGCTTAAGTTGAGGTGACATTGATGTCTTTGTCTTAAGGCATATCATAAGTTTCACCTGCTCGGGCTGTAGAGTTCAGGATTGCATATATGTAAGATTTGGCCTTCAAAGACTGATACAGTAGATATGTGCCAAAGAACTTTGCAAGAAAGACTGGTATCTGTGATGCTGTCATACTCTTTTCCAATGGCTCTTTTTGACAAACACTTCAAGGTGCCCTTGAGCATAAAACAGGATTGACCGTGTGTTTTGTTGCAGAAGTCCCCTGAAGCTGAAGTGCTGAGCTGATGGACTTCTTAACAATCCACTAGCACCAATTTAAAAGTACTGAGGGCTACCATACTGGTAAAGATATCTGATTTATGTGAAGTGATTCTTAAATATATAGTTAAGTAAGAGAACATAGCTTTTCATTTAACAGTTTTTTTGGAAAATACTGAATGGGTTAAATGATTTGGATTTAATAAGTCATATTTTCAAACTTCTCCTGCAGGAATGATGGTTTTTAATAGCCCCACAACCATTTCTGAGGGTCCATTTGTTCCTGAATATGCACTGCATACACTGCAGTGCAGTAAGCAAAAACAAAAAAATTGGAGCACTAAGTGTTTAGGTGTGAGCTTTGTATTCAAAGTTTAGGCAGGCTAGCGTCTTCTTTGTCTGGTGATTCAATGAAATTGGCAGCCTCTTGAAGTTTCAAAAGCATTGCCATCTATAAAAAAACAAGAGAGAGATTTGGGAAATTAGAACTTCTCAGGTTTGCAGATCAGTTTAAGAAATATTAGAAAGTATTGGGACACTGTCTCTATTACCAGAGGATCATTTTCCATGGAGCTGGGCGGAGTCTCTTTGTGAGGCCTCTCCTCACTTGGCTGGCAGGGGCTGCTGGAGCCGATGCTGGGAGGAGGTAGGTGGAACAATTTTGCCTGGTCCTGCTGGGCAGATGGCCAAGGCAGGGTGCCCCTCACCCACTCCACTGGGTCCTCCCATACTGCCTTTTGGCCATGGACCTGAGGAGTCACAACATAGCACCAAAGTAAAATTAGACTACAGCATTTCCTGTGAAAGGAAAGTCTATGGTGCTTTCAGAGAATAATCAAACTGCAAATTAATCTTGACCAAGTTTTATTTCAACAAGAATTACTTATTTTATTTGCTGTTATGGCTGCCCTAATCAATAAAAGCTGATTAAAAGTTTTTATTTTAAATGATTAAAGTGGTTCACCTTGATGCCGTCCTTGGCCCCTTCTTGCAGGTATGGTATGATAGAGTGGTTCCAAAGATCAATGAACCATGATCGAAACTCATCCACTGTGACTGGACAGGATAAGAAAAAGCAAGGGCCTAAAGAGAAAAAAGCAGAAAGAAGAGTGAGAATGCAGCAACAACTATCACATCAACCCTAAACCTGTTTCTTAATTCCTAAAGTTATCCTCTCTCAAGTGCTTCATACCTATGAGGAAATCCGATGTGCTGTGCTTCTCTAGGAAGGTGTGCAAATGATACCACAGTTTGGGAACCCAGTCTAACACCCTGATTAGATCCTCATTGGTCAAGTTCCTCTCATCTTCGGACTCCATCAACTTCCTGTGCAAGTATCGCACAAGGAAGCCATTGGCTGGCTCCACATTATTGGAGAAGGTCACCATTCTGAGACAATGAGAAGCATATTTGCATGTCACAACACTAGACTTAATAGTTTGTTAACAACATATTTCATTATTTAAGCAGGTTTACCTTTAAGCTACACCAACATTAGATACATTGTAGTTTATAGTTAATGTTAAAATGATAGGAATGAGGTATTCTTTATAAACTACTATTAATGTTAATATTTATAAAGACTTCTTTTTATTTTGGTCTTTTGGCTTTTAGAAGGCTATCATTATCCTCTTACTTATAGTACTGGGACAGCATTATTGAATGAAGCATGCAAAAATTCTTCAACCAGCATTAATAGTTTCAACAGGTTATTGCTATATATTAGTTACATAGTCATTTATAACCAACCTGAAGCTGAGATGCAGGCCATGGTTTGCGGTCATCTTCACTGGCTGATTGCTTGTTCCAACAATGTAAGGGCTAAACAATATTGCACAGTTAAGGCCACATTCAGCACCTACATAACTATGGTTTATCAAGTTGTATTCATGGAGACGAAGTTTACCATTTGTGATATTTGCAGGTTAGAGCACCATTGACAAGTTCACTGATGGAAGCAGGATCATGAATATCATCCAGAATAACCACCAATGGTATTTCCGTTGCGCTTTCCCGGTCTATTTGATTCGCTAAATTAGAAAGATAAAGCTGCAGATCCTACAAAGAAAGAGACAGAGATTGCAATACAAAATGATAAAAGCAAAATCATGCAGGTGGAGACTGGACAAACTCAGTCTGTGGAAGGAGAATTGTGGGGATCTTTAATGGCACATCAGTTTCTGTTACCTTGCATGACTGGCGATGCATGTTGAAAGTGACCACAATGCTATCCGTGACTTCGCGAGCACTGCGGTCCACCAGGTACTCAGCCAGCCGGGAAGCGAGGTACGTCTTCCCAGTGCCACTCGGCCCAGACAAGATTAGACGACGATGTTTGAGTAGAAGACTTATGTAGTGCTGCATCATGGGTTTGGGAATGAGAGTTTCAAATACCAGGCTGTCCACACACTTCTCCTTCAAACCTGAGCATAGTGAAGGAAAGAAAGAATGACTTGCATGATCAACTGCTCTAATAAACAAAGTTGATGACTATCTGCTAATTACATTGGATGTATCAGCGATGGTGATAAAGTGCAGTTTGATACATGATATTTAAATGCTTGATTGGAATTCTGTTAATATCTATACCAGAAAAAATACACATTGCAAACAGGACTGGCTTCAGTCAGAAGATGTGGTGAAAACAGATTTATATTACTTTGCACGTCGTTCATAATGAGCACAGAGCTCAAGCATTTCACTCTGAAAATAGTTCTGCATCAAGTGTAGGAAGTCTTTGCACCCCCATCCCCCAGCCTGCAGAAGTGCAATCTTCCTTAACATCTATGGGGCCCATGTGTCTGACGCTGGTCGACCAGCTGGGCCTGACTGCCCTGAGATCGTGTTACTCAGAGCCCTGTCTGGGCTGCCGCTGCTTTCCCAGCTCTCCGAGCACTTGGCTCCTCGCATTCCTGCATGCGAAGGTGGAGCGGGGTCAACCACCAAACCAGAACCATGACCGTCCCCACCGATCATCACTCTGGTTTAGAATCACTGATGGGCTCAACATGTGTGCAAATCAACAAAACAAAACAGTGCCAAAGGGTAAATGCATATATCTCAAATATATAATCCTAGTGATAACGCTAAGCCCACAACCAAGTGAGCCTCTGACAACAGGTCACGTTGTTGTTTACATCTATATCTGTTTAGACATGACCTTTGACCTTCTAGATATAAATCACACAATTTTATTGTATTGATATTTGTTGAACTTTGTTATAATATACATAGGAATGCATCTGAATTCTTGGATCAAGGCCAAAAATCATTTTTGTGGGGTAAAACAAACAAACACTTTTGACCATTAAATTCTAATTAGTTCTTCCTTAAATATAATTCAGTGTTTGAATCGGACAGACATATGGATAACATGAAGTGTAGTGTTTCAGGTCACAACTGTCAAAAATAATTATTTTAATAAAATAGCGTTTGGGGAGAAATAATGACCTCATCAGCTGCTTTGACCGAGGATCAGAACAGTGCAGTTCATTGGTTTTGACCACAAATGATTGTAGAGAAGTCGCCTCAAGCTAAAAAAAAAAAAGCCTCATACAAAAATCATTGTGAATTAGGAAATTTGAATGTTGAATTCCAAACTTTACGTTTCAATGAATTTACTTCTAATTCTGTGAATAAAACATCTTAAATTTAGTAGAACTTTAGAAGTTATACATTTTCTGCAAACCTTTCAGTGCCACTGTGATGCTACTGGGGCCTCGTGACATGCAGCGCGAGGGTTGTGTCTCAGGAGCTTCTCCTCCCAGCACTCTCTTAATGTGGCCCATACTGTAACTGTAGATGGAATCTGTAGACAGTCCCAGACTGGAGGTGGGGTCCACCTTGGCTGTGTATACCTGGAAGAAAAAGTAAAGAAAAGCAGAACTGAGTAAAACTAAGTAAAGAAAACTCCTTACAAGAAGAAGAAGAAAAATAAGAAGAAAAATATGTACAGTACAACAAAAAAATATAACAAAATATACAAAGTATAACAAAAAATTACGAAGTTTTAGAGCTATTCCTCCACACAACACATTTGGTTTTATTACCACCACACAAATAAAATGAATGATCTTTCAAGCCCATTACCCTCATAACAAAATCAGAAAGTTATTTTAAGTTTAAAAATGCAGCTCAAAAACTAGAATTATGAAAAAGTTTGTAATTTCCATTTAGTCTATCATATATTAAATTTTCAATATTAGTTTTGAGTTAAACCTTAAAGCTCCTTCCATAAAAAAATCCAAATAACTCAAAATATTCGAATATTTCAATTTAAGTTTAAGTACTATCAAAATGGTATGAATACTGTCATTTCAGTTCAGTATATGCAATCACAATCATGCAGAAGACTACCGACTTGACAGTTGTCCAGACGATGATCACTGACATTTCCCACAAGGAGAGTAACCTAGCGAAAGTTATTGCTAAAAGGTTGACTGTCTTCAGAGGCTGTACTGAAGCATACTAATGGAAAGTTGACTGGAGGGGAAAAGGGTGGTAGGAAAAGGTGTGCAACCATCAAGGATGTCCTCAGTCTTGAGAGGACTGTTGAAAAAGTCAACTCAAGAACTTGGAAGAGATTCACAAGGAGTGAAGTGAGGTTAGTTTAAGATACAGATATCTTCAGCAAGGTGCGACAACTACAGCTGGACCTGACTGTTGCTCAATGGTACAAAGTCTCATTTTTTTTAGATGACTGTAAACTTTACATTTCAAAGATTTACTGTCTACTGTTTACATTTTAAAAATCAAGTCCCAAGAGACTGCAGGAAGAGTAGAGAGGTAGAGAATCCAAGATGTTTGAAGTCCAGTGTGAAATTTCCTCAGTCTATAATGAATATCATCTGCTGGTTTTAATGGTGGTTGCTGGTCCATGATGAGGATACTACAGATGTTGAACATTACTCTATTATAAACTCTTTTTGATTGATCTTGGGAAAATCATAATAACTTAAGACACTGGATTTCTAATTTTAATGAGCTCTAAGCCAGAGTCATCAAAATTAAAACAGAAATGGCTTTAAATATTTCACTTTATGTGAATGTAGAAGATATGAGTTTTTGAATTAAATACCATTTTCAGAAGCACTTGTATGTATGTTTTCTGTCTTACTTTACACCTCTGAACAGCGCTCCTGATGTTCGTCTTGATGCTAAAGTTAATGTGACAGCTGAATTGCAATTGTAAGCATGCTTTAAATTTGCATTCAGCTTTTTAACAGGTTGCAGTGAGTGAGGATTTCTCACCTTAAAAGCCTGACTGACAGCTGAGTCAAGCATCACCCAATCCATCCTGCCATTCACTCTGACAGTGCCGACAAAGAAATCCTGCTGTTTAACCTCCTGTTGACACAAAGTGAAGTTAATAGGTGATTAACAGGTGACAGAGGCAATTTAAGAGGAAAGGAAGGATTTAGAAAAAGCAAATTTATGAAAACATACATCTTTAAAGACACGTAGATCTGCAACACAAACCACGACCCTGACACGATGGTCATCTCTCTGTGAGGAAAGGCTGAGAGAATCTGCAGTGTGGATGTCTGCTAAGCAGTAAATCAAAGAGTGTATAAACAGAAAAAAGAAAGCTTATGAGGCATCTGCAACACAAGTTGAAACAAGCAGTGTTAATTTTGCATTATATTCTTTATCTGCTGAACTGTAATTTTAAAAGATCATATTTTATAGACTTCAGAACAAAAGCATGGATTTTTACATCACCATGTATTAAATGACCACAGAAACAAGTAATGGATTTTGACTGCCCTGACACTGTAACTTTAATTTTTATTGTTATCAGACATTTAATCTATGTGCATATAGATTCTAAATAAAGGCATGAGGCAATTATAGGGATTCTAGAAAATCCAATGATTTCAGTGATACTGAATTACATCAAATTCTGTTTTCTTCAAATAAATTTGGTTGAGAAGTTCTTTTTATCATTCAGATAAACATGCTTGTTTTCACTGTTCTGTTTTGTTTTTTAAAAATCTAAGTACTATACCCAGTTATCTGACTCATTGTTGCATTCTTACTCCTATAAATATAAATGTCAAAGACTGAGCTGTACCTGAGCTGCTCCCCTCACTCAGCCCTCTGCTGTAGCTTTTAGGCACGTGCATGGCTACTGACTGTCGGGGTGATGAGCTTCCCAGAGCAGTGAGACCTGAGGACTGGGAAACAGAGCTGGAGGGTCCAGGAGATGGACAGGGAGTACCTGTCTTCAGATGGTCGTTCTCAGCCTTCAGGTTTTCGATTGTCCTCTATTTAAAAAAATAAAATAAAATTACCGATCACTGCGCTGTTTACCAATTGCAAAATACAAAACACTAAAGGTTACGATTTTTACAAAAGCAAATCAACTGGTCTAGACAAAAATCTTCATAAAATAAACATCCGGCTGGAAAATGAAATGCACTTTGAGGCCAACCTTTTTATGAAACAAACAAAATTACATATACCTGCATGTTGTTCATGGCCTCCTGCAGCTGCTCCAGCTGATGGGCTGAACTCAGAGCCTCGAGGCGGATGTCTGTCAGTTTACGCTCCTTCTCCCACAGTTCTGTGCGCAGGTCTGTTACAACCTTATCATCACCTGCCTCACTCCCTTCAGAGAGTCTGGTGACAATGAAATTATGGGAAAATTATCATTATGGTACTGTAGCAGGGATCAGAGGAATGACAGGAAAATAACAATTTTACAGAGTTCTGTGATATTCTGTTTTCACATCTCCGAGAAGTTTGTATTTCTTTATGTTGTGATTCAATTCCTTATTTGATATGCATATAAATAGAACAATGATAAAGATCCTTGTATGGTACCTTGAAGATGATGCTGAGGCTGAGGATTTCATTGACACCGGAGGGTTATCTCCATCATGGTGGATTTTGGGGGAGGAAGGTGCTGAGGATTCTGGGGTGGCAATCTCTTCAATGTCAGCATATGGCCCAGTTGGCTTTGAGCCCTTCTTACTAAAAGCCTTGTTGAATGAGCTGCGTAACTGTTGGGAGAATACATGAAATCAAGATGTAATAAATAACAAGCCTGGAAAAAAAACAAGAATAAAAGCAAAAGACAGCTGAAAAGAAATTCTTAAAAAGTGATTGTGATGACCTGAGAGTTCTCAGAATGTGGCTTTTTTTTTTTTTTTTTAAACAAAAAGTAGGCAAATATAAATTTCCAAACAAAAAAAAAGTTGGTGAAATGTTAGATTTACAGCAAACTAGTTTAATAAAACTCATTTAGTATGTTGGGGTTTTTGTAACAGCAGTTTGAAGTCCACAAGACAATAAATTTAATAATAAACATTTAATAATAAAGCACGATTAAATCATACAGTAATTGTGTATGTTTGAAAAACAAACAAACAAAAAAAAGGGATGACAGAACATTTCCCAACATTTAGGAAGTATGACTCAAAGCACATGCAGGCTGGAGTGGAAAAGGTTTGAGTTTTATTTATTGTAGCAACATCACTCACCTCAAAGACCTAAAATAAAAAAGCGGGGCAGCATGAGGGAGAGACCAGAGTCATATTTAATAAGAAAGATGGAACAGGACAGGAGGCGAATCACACACACACACACACACACAAGCAGGAGCGTAAAGTAGGACAACAACTGACTTTCTCAGTCTGAACACACAAGACACAACAAGAAAGGGAAGCAAGTCATGTTCATACATTTCAGATGTTATATGTAACACAAAAAGAACAAAAAGACCCAGTTTTATCAACACAGTCACTGAATGTGGTCAGTCTGATCAATTTGGAATCACTAAATTGATACAAATATTGTTACTTTCATCTTGTTTCCTGATGATTTGTATGAAACTGAAATGTATGAAAATGTATTTGTTTTTCCTGCCATATATTGTCCTGTACAGACGCCATACAGGACGGTACATTAAGACTCCTGGTGAACTTCTTAGGCACAAATGTAGTCAGTGACCAGTGTTTCCTCACCCAGCTCTTCTTCTTCTTCTTCTTGGCCTCCTGCTCCTTGAAGCTGCCCATGCTCGAGTGGCTGGTGGTGCTGGCAAGACTGGAGAGGCTTTCTGAGGAATTCTGGCGGTTGATCTGCAGCTCTGAATACCCAAAAGAAAACAGAAGAGTTGAACAAGGAGACAGAAGTATATGACAGTCAAAATCCTACTGTATATCATAAAGCGCAGTCTGTACCTTTGGGTGTGACATCCGGATTACTGAGGGCCCCCTGAATGATTTCCTGGGCTTCAGTATTTTTGGCCTTCAGAATGTCAATGGTGTCCTTCAATTCAGTAAGCTCAGAGTCCTTAAGGAAACATCAGTATGTAGTCATGTTAGTTGATGGGTTAGTAACTGAGCCAAGATTTTTCTGTACCGAGGACTGTGGAATGCCTCTTAGCTTTCACTAAGGATGTCAGGTTGTGTTGAGTGACAACATCGAAATCCTATCATGACTCGCATCTCATTTTCATGACAACTATGCAACTTGGTCTCCTTTTCACTCACAAAACTAACCTAATGAGCAGAGTGCATAGTTTATGATTAACATCACTGGAATTTATTTGCTGATTATGTAGTAATTTCTTTCTGCTTTTAGCTGTCATGTAAGAGATTGTTTATGGCGTGTTTCTAGCGTTACCTACTTTTCTCATCAAATTTCCTCATGTAACATGTATGTATGTAATGTAATATCGCCAAAATACCTTTTGATCTGAGGAGACAGACAGTGTCTGCAGGCGTGCTGTCATCAGGGCCAGACTTTGTTCAAATGCTGCGACCAGATTAGCCTATGAGAGAAAGAGACAGAGTTAAAAGGCTACAAAGAGAGAGTGTGTGTCTGTGTGTGAAGGATGGTGAGGCAGCAGACAGGTATGAGTCACCAGCTGAAACAAATCGATTTGCAGCCTCACACACTCACACCACGTCAAACAAATAGCTTTCTTCATCTGCTGGGAGAGGATAGAAGGGATGGAAGAGTCAACAGCTGTGGATGATGTCAGAGATGAAAAAGGACATTATGGTAATGGTGGTAATGTTCAAGCGGATGTAGCACTATGGGACAAAGGTTGTTAACCTCAAAAGCCATGGATAACAAAATCACATCTAATTAGTTAACAGGTACATGTGAGTTTTTCTTTGTTTTACAATAACTAGTTTCTACAAGCATCTTTTTGCAGACTTATTTTTTCAGTTGTTTTAGAATACCTTCCATGTCCAAAAGTCCACTTGTTACTACCCTCTGGTATACATTTAGTGCTACCTAAAATACATTTTTTGTCTCATACTGCTTGACTCATTATTAGGTTTGCTGCTGACCTCCTCAGAAGCTTTTAAAGCTATCCTAACCACCTAAGTAAAGAGCAGTCAGCTACTGAATTGTCGCTAAGAGCAGCAGACCTTCAGCAAACCTAATATGTTACACTACCGGAAAGACATTCCAGTAAAACTCATGTCAGCCTACAAATCTAAAACCTAAAAGTAAAAAATAAGTCAAAGTTAGAAAAGTCTAACTATACAAAAAGAGACGCCTCAGAAAACTGTGCTGCAACATTTTTTTTTTAGATCAGCTGTTTTATATTAAATAATGAATGTAACTGTTAGTCGTAGCTCTATTTAAAATGAAAATTAGCATTCAAATTGGAAGGCTTACGCCACACCACAACACAAGACCACCATGTCAGATGTCACAAGAGAGTGAGACAGGGTGCTCTGAAAGTAACTAACAAACCTGGCCTAGCTGCTACACACAGCATCCAGAGGTACAGGACAGTGGGAGGCAGGCAGAGGGCAGCAGTGAGTCCAGCAGTCAATGCAGCCCAGGTTGTAAAAAAGAGGGATAATGGTGTTAGGAGAGCGAAAACCTCTTACAAAAACATACGGACAGACCAACAAACACACTTAGTTCCCCATACATACATCAAAACATCCAGATTAGTCAACAGCAAAGCCTGTTAGTGCATGTGCAAAAGAAGAATGTTGTCTACTGCATCAGAAACTGCAGATTAAAGGGTCACAAGCTGTACAATAAGATAATTAAAAGTAGCTGGGATGGGAAAGCTGGTAGAAACAAAGTTACAAGCGAGTAGCCGGGTGTAGGGTTACATGATTTTGTTTAAGAGGATACAGATTTTAATAAATGCGGGGGGAAAGTAGTTCTAGAGAGAGAAGACGTAATGCGGCCTAAGTGCAATAAGGGGGAGTAAATCTTAGGTTCTGTGTCCAGCATGCTCTTTAAGTAGATGCCAGGGTTACAGTTAGACTACATTAAAGTTAACTAATGTCGTTTTTTTATTTTCTTAGGTTAGCAAAGATTTACACACCCAGATAAGCCTCACAAAACTGCGGGTACACCTGCTTTTAGTTGGTTGTGGGACAAAAGTTCAATGACTTAAATCAAGTGGAATTTACATTTGTGGTTGAGCACTTTGAGAGAATACCTGTTATGTGGCCAAGTTATTATCAGATTAACGTTGGAAAACAGACGAAAAATGAGGGTGGAGGGATACAGGAGGTAGGGGTAAGGCTTACGTACATTGGCAGAAAGCTGCACGGTCAAGTTGGCAACCTTATCCTGGGAGGATTCCAGCTCCCGTCTCAACTTGCGGATTTGCTGTAGACAAATAGTAAATCAAGTTTGAACAGTATGACCACAGCACCATACACAATACCTCAGACATAAAACCAGAGCTGATGAAGATGTAAACACAAACTTTGATAATGATAATGCAGTAATGGAATGTGTTAAATGCATAGCTTTGTTTGGTTAAATCAAAGAATGTACAAACAATGTAACATGAAGGTTAATGCTCCACCACAGCAATCAAAATAATCCAGAAATATACTCTAAACCAACAGAAATTGGATGAAAGTCTCTTTTCAACATATTTCTCATGCACTCAGAATTTAATGAGAACTGGCTGTCTTCATGAAATGTTAGAATGTATTGTTAAAGGACACACAATATTAAAGATCAAACTAAATGAACTGAGTTATGAGCTTCTGAGATATAATCTCAGACTTTCTGAAGCACCAGTGACACCATCTGATGACAGAACCCATTTCAACAGGAAATGATAGACGGTGAGTACAAAGGCAAAATGGGATCTGAAGATGTATGGCATGTTTGCCTTACCTCCCCTTGTATCCTCTCCTCATTCTTAAGAAAGCATGGCGAAAGTAAGAGGGATAGTGTAGAGGATTCAGTTCACGGGCAGTCATTAAAACTAGTCATCAAAGTAAATATAACTTAATATAACTAAGAATAGTTATCACTACCCCGATACCAGCTCAAGAAGAGGCTTAGGAATCATAAATGCATACAAGAACGTTCCCATGTCAAACCAGTTGATAACTTGTAATTATGGAAGCTGGTCTCCTAATGAGAAATTCACCCTTATCCTACACAGGAAATACTTTTAAAAAACAGCTTCCTGGATGATTTGTAGACATAAAGAGTAAGTTCAATGCTACAAGATTAAGAGTAAAACATTTCTTATGCTACAAAAAAGAGACTGTAAATACTCACTGAGGAATGGTTGGATGAAGCATTAGATGCCAAAGACAGCACAGAGCCATGCACTGAAAACACAAGGTAGAGTTGTAAGCTTAATATTAAAATGTAGTTTCACAGAAGGCAGCTTTAATTTGCAAAGTAACAAAGAAATGTTGAAATAATCATAGACCAAAATTATAAATAAATGACTAAAGAATCTAGAAATTAAATATTTTTTAATATACCAAAGGCTCCCTCAAATCCTATTCAATATTCTATAACATTATAAAACAGTATGTGACTTATCTGACTTCATACAGACAAAAATAAAGCATATTCTGTTTAAAATTCATTCAGATTTCTGTAATTAAAAAAAATACTTAAATGTGTTAAAACAAATCACTTCATTAAGAAACTGAAGTTAGGGGTATCCTAATGTTGGACTCTGTATTAAAATGTCTGTAAATTATCTAAGAGTAGTAGCAGGATTAAAATGTTGCTGTTTTGTATATATTTTCACCACAGATTATGCCCTTAAATGAGTCTAACATTGTGCTTAGATTGCAGATAGACAGATTGTGTGCAGTATGAGTAGACAGCTTTGTTTCATTTGAGGTCATATTGGGAAGCTCCCCTGCAGGGAAGTGAGTCAAACAGACTCACCATCCTCTCCTGGTTCACGGAAAGACCCAGACCGCATCATGCTTTTTGGACGGTCAACCAGGGACATACTGCTGCCCAGAGGGGAGGATCCATAGAGATCGCAGGCAGAATCGCTTGGGGGGCCTATGCTGTTGGACCGCGATATCCTTGGGGTGCCACTGGAAATTGGGGCAACTATGATAACAGAGAGTTGGTATGGTTCAGTGCTCCACACAGATACATATATACACACAAAACAGTCCTACACCTTGGAACAGTATAGCACTCTCATTCTGATGACTAAGTGTAAGGCAACACTGACACAACAGCAATATATATAGCCTCACTTGACCTCTGTTGCATTCATCTCCAGCATATTTTGAACCTAAACTCAAGTTTAAGTAGATGTTCATATGGCATAATTCAATTCAGATTTTCAAAAGATCTATTTTAATACATCTGGCCAATACTTCTTCACTCACAATACAGAATGCATTACAGAGAACTTGTGCAAACCCTGCTCATCTGTAAAAGTTTTTCTCTCAGCACGAGCTCCATAGCCCTGTCCTCTCAAAGCTCAACAAAAAGAAGCATCGCTAATCTAAGATTAGCCCTTAATGTTAAAGCTCAAAAAGTGAGGGTTTTTAAAACTTGTTAGCCAGCCAAAATGGAACACATAAACTCACCCACATTGGTGAGAGGAATCTTATTGGATAATGGGTGCAGGGTGCGGGTAGGAGAAGGCCACTGAGGGGGGCTATCACTCTCTGTCATGCTGACTATGTTGTGGGAGTGCCGTCTTCCTGGCTTACTTTCTTCACTCTCTGATAGGTTTGAGCCATAGCGTCTGCAAAAGAAAGGTTATTTACTTGAAGATGCAGCATAGTGCATGATTTTAAATAGACAATTTGACAATAAGTGTTTTGACATACTCTAAGCCTTTCTTTGGCAAGGTATTCCGATCTGTTTGCAAGCTGTAACGAAAAGAATAAAAACACAATTTTCAGAAAACATGGCCTGGGTCTGCCTAAACATACATTCCTTTGGCAGGAAAGTATCTGGACCATCTCCATCTCAATAAAGAGAAATTTTGTGATAGATGCAGCTCTTCATCTTCAAAATGAGACCTTGGACTCTCCTTTCCCGGAAAAAGGCACATATAATATGAGTGAAATGTGTGTCAGCTGCACAGAAACGTATAGCCAAACCATCACACAGAAACATCATCTTAGCTGGGCTTTATCCTTTTCTGCTCATAGGATAAATGCAAATTCTTGTGCTTGTTCTAATGAAAAGACATGTGGACATTTTTATAACTGAATTCTTGTGCAATGAGCATTTCTTGTATTGCCAATTGAATTAGGAATCCCTGAATGATAGCAAAATGAAAAATAAAATAGTTTTTTGGTCCAAGGTTTTGCATCAATTTTTTGAGGGTTTGTTTTTAAACTTTGATGCTTTTTCAAATTAGTTGCAGAAGTATTAAGCATTTTTTCTCCTCCAAGGACACAAAACCAATTGTCCGTTCGGAGTTACTCTTTAGCAGAAACTCTAACAACATACACTGATGACAAAAAAACTGCATAACCCCTTTTTTCCCCAAACATATCAGTTTTGACACAGTTTACATTACATATTTCAGACACTTGCCTGTCTGAGAGGGTGAGGGACGTCCTACTCCCAGCCCCCCAGGTTCCTGTACTCCTCTCTTCTTTATCACGGGTGTTTGTTGTAACAAACCTTGCACTTGCAGGCACACTCATCTGGAGGGGCAGGGACTCCAAGCTGCGGTGCATGCCTGACAGTTTGGGGTAGAGTATCGGCGATCCACTCAGGCTTTCACTTGCGTAAGGGCTGGGTGAATCAATATGAAGGACTGGCGCTGGGCTAGGGGTTAGGCGGGTGGCTGTGTGGGAACTAGCCAAGTCTTGGAGCTTGGAGTATGGGGGCACTTTGGGTGGAAGGTCCTGTATTGTCACACAGGAGTCGAGACTGTTTGAGTTGACCTTGTCCAGGTGAGCCAAGCTAGGAGGACGACCTAGAGACTTAGTGTTCAGCATCCTAGGATCGAAGCATGAAAGACATGATGATGAAAAAGGAAACTGAACGTTTTAAAACCTGTTAAGTATTGAATGCAGTTTATTTTAAAGCCTTTTGCCCAAATATATATATATATATTTTTTTTTAAATTCAATTTTAAACATTTTATTACAGCAATTAGAGCATGCTGTAGGTATTAAAGATAGTGGGATAAAGTGGTTTGAATTGTATCTACCTAACAGACTCCAATTTGTTCATGTAAATAGAGAGTTTTATTCACAAACTAAGGCTAATTATGGACTTCCACAGGGTTCCTTGTTAGAACCAATTCTGTTTACAGTATACATGCTCCCCTTAGTTGGAATCATTAGAAAGCATAGCATACATTTTCACTACTATGCAGACGACACACAACTTTATCTATCCATGAACCCAGATAACACACACCAATTAGTTAAACTGCAGGAATGTCTTAAAGACATAAATTCAGATAAAACTGAGGTTATTGTACTTGGCCCTAAAAGTCTTAGAAATGTGATTTCTAGCCAGATTCTTACTCTAGATGCCATTACCCTGGCCCTCCAGTAACACTGTGAGGAATCTCTGAGTCATTTTTGACCAGGATATGTCCTTCGATGCACATATTAAACTAATATTTAGGACTGTTTTCTTTCACTTGTGTAATATCTCTAATATTAGAAACATTCTTTCACAGAGTGATGCTGAAAAACTAGTTCATAAGAGAGAAAGAGAGAGCAGATTTCTCCTGTTTTGGCTTCCCTTCATTGGCTCCCTGTTAAATCCAGAATCGAATTCAAAATCCTGCTCCTCACATGCAAGGTCTTAAATAATCAGGTCCCATCTTATCTTAACAACCTTGAAGTACCATATCACCCTATTAGAGCACTTCACTCTCAGACTGCGGGCTTACTTGTTCCTAGAGTATTTAAAAGTAGAATGGGAGGCAGAGCATTCAGCCTTCGGGCCCCTCTTCTGTGGAACCAGCTTCCAGTTTGGGTTGGCGCGACAGACACCCTCTCTACTTTTAAGATTAGATTTGAAATTTTCCTTTTTGATAAAGCATATTGTTATGGCTGGACCAGGTGACACTGAAGCCCCCCTTAGTTACCCTGCAATAGTTGTAGGGTGCTGGGGGATTCCCATGATGCACTGAGTATTTCTTCTTCAGTCACCTTTTTCGCTCACGATGTGTTTATACACCTCTCTGCATTGAATTATTCGTTATTATTAATTGTTGGCTCTCTTCTACTGCATGTCTCTGTACGGTTCATGGTTTCTTCCTGTGAAAAGGGAGTTTCCCCTTCCACTGTCACCACAGTTCTTGCTCAGTGGGTGTTATATGATTGTTGGGGTTTTCTCTGTTTTCTTTGTATTTCTGTGGGGTCTTTACCTTACAGTATAAAGTGCATTGAAGCATCTGTTGTTGCGATTTGCCACTATATAAATAAAACTGAATTGAACTAAAATGAAAATAAAAACCCTCAGAACATCAATAAAATGACAAACCTCGGTATGGTGGGTGATGACAGTTCGGGGTATTTGCTGCTGCTAGTTCGTCTCAGGCCATGCAGTTTCACAGAAGACTCTCCTGTTGATTCGGATGGTGTGTCCTCTCCTTTTAGCGAAGCACAGTCGATGTCTGCAACCACAGCCTTAGCTTTGGCCCTTTCCTTTTCTTTCTCTCGGTCTGTCTGGTTTACTGGGCCAGTACTTGTTCGATTAGTTATTTTAATACTGGAGCTACTTGGTTCTTTAACCCTGGGGCCTGAAGAAGTTATGGGTACAGGTTTCAAGGACAACAGACTAGAGTCAATTGTACTGCTGACAGGGCGAGTTGTGGGGCGCCCAATCACACTAAGTGTGCTTGATTTGGCCGGTCGGGGCAGGCTGCGGTACTGAATGCTGTTTCGGGCGTTTGGCCCCAGGAAGCTCTGCTCACTGCTGGCATCAAAACTGTTCTTTCTACCCGAGGGTATTCCTCCTCCTACAGGTTTCACAGGGATGCCAGATGACTTGGGGGTTTTTCCCACAGTAGCAGAGCCACTAGAGATGGTGGCACCCCCTGCTGTCATGACGGTTGCTGTACCAGTTGCTGTTGGTGGTCTCTTGTAGCCAAAGGAGGTTCCAGCAGTGGGTTTAACGAGACCTGAAGGGGGCTTGCGGTGCTCTCCATGATGATCTCTGCCAGCATCTGAACGGGAACGCTGCAGACCAGCAGTTCTGATGGAAATCTTGGATTTGTCCAGTGGCTTCTCACTTTTTGGTGCTAGTTAGACAGAAAGAAAGAAAAAAACATATTACATTGACATTCAAAACTTAAATAACTTAAATACTTATAAAAGCAGCAGGAATTTGGGGGAATGTGATTTGTTCTATTTGTCTTTCAGCCACAATGACCATAGCCTTCCTCTTAATATAATCACACCCTGTCAGAGGAAAGTATTCAAAAAATAAATGGGTGGTTATTTGTGGAGGGATATTTATGGGCTAGCAAACCACATGAGAGTAGAAATACATGTCATTTTTGCTATTACTGATGAGATGAAAACAAAACACATCTGTCTGCACTAAAAGAACCTTTATGTATTCCTTGATGTTTAGAGTGACTCACAAAAAAAACTTTTATTTAAAACAACGGAAAGTAAAGTTTTAACAATATTTTAAAGCCTATACTAGTGAATTAACCAACTAAATTTATTTGTCCATTTAAGACAAATGGAAGTAAATCATTTTTAAGAGGGTATATTGGACAAAAAGAGTTAAAGCCCAATATTTTTTTCTACTTACTTTTTTTTTTTTTCTAACTTTAGCTACTTTAGCATTAAAGTAGCTAAAGTTCAGGTTACAGTACATTCATGAAAGCAGACAGAAAAACAGCTAACTTATGGAGTCATTGTCAAATATAGTATACGGTTTAAAATACAACAGCCAAGAGAACTTTTTTCCACCTTCAACCTGCAGCCAAATTACACAGAACTGGATATAATTTTAACGACTTACTATTTTTAAAGCTAAAATTAGGTTAAAATGAAAAGCAGGCCAGCCAAATGTTCTTACTGGAACTCAAATCTAAGCTATTATTTAATCATGGCTTGTTTTGTTAGGGATTAGAGGACATTTAAAAAAGCTGCTGCAGATGGAAGGCAGGGCCTCTGCAGACATGTAGAGTAACACACTTTGTTTTAAGATAATAGAAGGTCTGGAACTGAAACTGCAATACTTTCTTTATTTAAGTGAAATGAATTTAAACTTATGTATTTAAACTTATAGCCTAGCTTACATTTAGGAATAAACTTCTGTATTTATTTTGTTACCAAACTCACATCAACTGTTCTATAAACTGTTATGGACTGCTGGACTCCACATAAAAGTGAGATAATAGACTGTATAAGTGTTAAAGCTATAAACGTTTAAGAACATTGGCCACACACCAAGTTACTACATGAGACGAGCAGAAGAAATAATGGTTAGGGATAAAATACACGCAGATGCAAAGTAACAAAAAAAAAGCTTTTAAAAAGAGAATGTCACCTGCGACTTTGAGCATACACTGGGAGGTATGGGTGATGGGGGAGGTCACACCCACAGGAGGATTTCTGCTTTTCTTGAAACTTCCTGGTTGACCCAAACTTTGAGGCTTCTTCAGTTCCCCTTTACCGCCAAAATCTTCACTAAGGCTTGGAGGCTTCTTTCTCCACTTGCTTGGTGCCTCTGTCTTGAGACTTCCTGAGTCAAAGCTGGAGCTACCAAGCTTATGGGTGCTTTTGCCATCCTCACTGTACCAAGAAAGTCCACTTTCCACCAGAGAGCGCTTCTCTGCATCAGTGCGGAGCTGTAGAGAGAGGAAGGACACAATGTGGGCAACCGTCAGACATGGTTTGTGTTATCTATGGAATCGACTGTTCTCTGTAATCTTTATCCCATCTGAGCTGCATTCCAGTGGGAAGGAGGGAGAGATAAACTGATACGCCCCAAGGGGATTTAAAAAAAAACCCCCGCAGAGACAAAAGAAAGGAGAACAAAAACATGTTCAAGGATTTAACACTTTAAGACTTAGATCAACACATTAAACAGTAAAAACGAAAATATTACAGCAGAGGACAGCTAGAGCATTATTTTTCTAATTTAGGGCTATATAGTAGAGAAAAAACTGCTACACAACAATAGAAAAATCATGTGGTGCACCGAGGAGGTAGCACGGAGGGCAAAATTGGGCATGCTGCTTTTTGGCACCATATTATCCTGTTATAGAGCGACAGATGGCACATTGAGTAGCTCTAGTGTTTATTTCTTCCAAGAGACCAATTTCTAAGTAAGTAAAAGCACAGCATTTACCTATGAAAAAGGTAGAATGTGCGGCCACTTAACCAAATCAAGTTTGATGCTCATTTCTTTTCAAATTTAACAGAACATCCTTTAGGAATGGAATACTTACATGACACCTATGTTTTTCTTCACAAACATCAATAAAAGACCTGATAAAAATGTCATAACTTAATATTTTGCATTCATTTTGCACAGTGTTATGTGGAGAGGCAACTATCTCCCAGACCTTCAGATATGAAGGCAAGTATACAAGTAAATAAGCAATCCTGGACTAACTACAGGTTGCTCTTTGGCAGGGCATAGGATCCTCACAGCCGCCTTCCTTTGGGAAAAGCATTATAAGTAAAGCCTTGGGAAGCAGTAAGGTGGAAGTGCAGTAATAGTGGAAGAACTGGAATTCCTTTGATGGTGACAGTCACAATTACACTAGGTACTCAAATTCTGGTTCTTCAGCCAGGGTCACCTAACTCAGCTAGTGAACTTCTGCTGTGTGATAGATGCAGTGAATCCTTAACTAGACGCATTTGAAAACTCTAGCAACTCTGCAAGATGATGATGATGATGAGGATTGCACAGTGAAGCCCCAAAATATTCATGAGTGGAGGAACGCTCCCGCCACATGCATTTTTTTCTGACTAGCAGGAGAGAGCTGTGTGTACCGTGACAAGGTAAGCTCTGTAGTGGCTTTTGTGGCCTCTGCCAAAGCAAAGGATTGCCTTTAACACACAACAAACTAAATCACATGGTGTGGCTTTGGAAATGGTTTCAGTAAAGAACTAAGCTGCAATCTTTAGCAATCTTTTGCTACAAACAAAATAAGTTGTGGGAAAGAACACATGCCACATGCTGTATTACAGGCCGGTACAGTATTTCACTAACCATAACAGAGGAGTTGCGCCTTGATCCCAAGGGTGTGTTTGGGAGGGAGTTGAGAGACGAGCTGGCGTTGAATTCCTCTGAACTGAGATTCTCCGAGCCATCGCCATCACCATCGCTGAGTCCACTGCTAATGGAGCTGCTCTCGTCCCAACTGAAACCAGACAGAGTAACCACTTAGCAAAAATGTGCCACTGAAAGTGTGAATGTAAAGCACGAAAAGCTGCAGAACTCTGTGTTTGAGGAGAAGATAAGTCTTGCAGCAGCATTTATTTGTCCATCTGGCTTCAGCAGGCTGTCTCTGGAGGAGGCCACGTGCTTAAACAAACAGGTAATTCCAACTTGGCTATTTTGCTTTGATTTAACAAACACATCAGCGCTCAAGACCATATGGTGAACAACTCATCAGGCGTATATCCAGAAGATTTCTTTAATTTATGGTATACCTACATCAACACTGTCTTTAGGAACTTCAAAGATAAGATTTAAAGCCATAACTACTTGTTAAGTCCCATATATTTTAATAAAAGTGCAAATTACAATTTATTGATTTCAACAAATCCAGAATCTGTGGCAGTTCAAATTTATCAAACGAGCTGTGGATCATAACTCTGTGCTTTACCACAAAGTGCCAAATTATAACACGAGACGTCATCAAATAGTTGCTTCCCTGGGTTTCTTGACTTCATAAAATTTATGGCCGTTTGAAACTTTCATCAATCCACAAACCCCACCATTCACAATCTTCACAGCAGCTAATAAACCTTTTTAAACACACTGCACCACAACTCATGTGGGGAAACTCCAGTCTAGCAATCATAATAAAATGGTCAGCTTGGGCAGTAAATTTTAAGTCAGAAAAATGTGAGCTTTACCATATTTTAATAAATCGTAATGACAGCACAGCTAGGACAGCACTCTTTGTAGTTTTTCAGCACAGCTTCAAGACATGCTGATGAATCGTGGTAAATAAAAAGTACTGCGACTGACAGTTCAGTGTTTAGAAAACAGTCTGTTATGCTCAAAAGAAGCAGGATGAGAGAAATCAGAGTGACAGGCTCCTGAACCTTGCATGACCCTTCCCAACAGCCTTCAATGAAGTCCTGTCTCGCCTTGAAACAGATGCTGCCACATTGGCCCTTCTCCTGAGGCCAGAAGGGACGGGCAGTCCCTGCACACCCCAGAGAAACTGGTCACTGGGCATCAGGTCTCTGGGTGCATTTCATATTTGAAAATACAGTTCAAGAAAAAGCTTCTCGGTCAACCAAAACATCACAGGATAAAACAGTTCAATCTGAGTGGGAAGTTTAAAAGAAGTGCTTTAGAAGAGCAATGATGCCATGGTGAACTTAAAAATGGTATCTCCAGAGAGCTAAATGCAAGTCCAGCTCATATTTGGTATAATTATGTTCCCCATCATTACTACTGGCAGCCACAGGTGGTAATCAAATTTGTGTTGGCGCTCAAAAATGTTGCACAGTGGAAAAGGTAAATTAATATGCCTCTTAAAAGCAGAGTAACTGCTTGAGCTGAATCAGTTCTTTTCCCTTTCTTTGGTTTCCCTACAGAGCTCAAAATGCTCTTTGTGGGTCTGCAGTCTGCAATTAGCAGAGCCATGGAACATGGAATTGCACAGGAAAATAGAGGGAGACAAAAATGGTTTATACACACATTCGGAATGGATTTAAACACATGGCATGAGTTGAGTTATAGATACAGCTGTAAAACAGGGAAGAAGCTTTTCTTGACACTGTGTGCTGGTTTTAAGGCTTTTTGATGTATAAAAGCAGCGTTTTAGTAAAGTGATTTGTGGCCACAGATATGTGACCTCTTGACAACAAGAGTGTAACATAAAATAAATGTTGGATTTTAGAAAAAGTTCTTACATACCAGTAAGAATAACAGTGAGAAAAGTTTCATGATTTACATTAGGCACAGATGTTAGTGGTGTGTTTGAACAATACCTCCTCTGTCAGGGGCGACAGAGGGGCCATGAATAACCCCACAGGGATGTCAGCCTAGGAAGAGGCAGGAGGGCCTGTGGGCTGTTGATATTACAAGCCAAGCTGTCTGCTCTCGGAGGTAAAATCCAGACAGGGAGAGGGTGGGAGTAGGCTAGGGTAGTGCATACTTCATACATTGGGTGGCAATTAACATTTTGTTTTCTCTGGCACTACTCCTACGCATATCTGATTTGAGCCCATTTGTGATTTGTGAGCTGCAATAGTGTGAATATTTCTTCTGTTTTAATAAGATTGAGAGGTGGTTGGTGGGGCAGAGCACGGTGTGGACATTAGTCACTGTCTGGAGCTGGAAGTAGATTTAACAACCTTTGGTGGATTGGATGAACAAGAAAAACAAAAAAATACATCAATTTTTTTAGGATTAAAAAGCTATCAAGGCTTCTCAGGGACCGTCCTTTGATAATATTCTAACTATCATATCAGATTAAATAGCACACGGGAGGGAGGAAGCATCTTGTAGGTCAATTTGGCAATGTGTCTGCAAAGTTTCGGCTTAAAAAAAGAATAATGATGTGGCTCCTGGGAGCGCATGACTGTAGCTGAATGAGTGGTGAAGACATCCTTCATTATACAGATAGCTGTGGTAGCAGCGCTCCCGTGTCCTCCAAGAATAAAACTGCGTTTTTCCACAGATGCTATAACTTCAACTGCAAAAACAATGTCTGATCGTGACATTTAACTTCACGGCGCAAAATGTTACAGGTGAACGGCAAAAGTCAAATGATTAAAAATAATATATTAATTAGATTTCATCGATTACACTGTTATGCTATTACACTGATGCTCAATATTTAGAAGAATTTAAATCCATTGAAGAGCTTCATTTCTTCGCGGAGAAAGAAAGAAACGCTAATATTCTAGAATATTAGCCCCAGGGGCAAATAAAGGCAGATAATGTGCCAACGGCGATTAAATATTAATGATACATTACCTTGGAGTTAAAAGGAAAGTCCTCCTTGCTCGTGTCGCCGGCTGCAGCGGTGGCACTTTACCGACCAAAACACGCCCGCTCATTTGTGACTTGTACGGGTTTAGAGTGAGCGCAGAGTCACTCCGCAAGCAAAGACCCCTGTTCCCTCATTCAGCGAGAGGAAAAGTAGCGTGTCTCTCAGCATTCGAGCAACACCCCCTCCCATAAAGGCAAAAAAAGAAAACGAACGAGGAGATCATAGAGACCCCGATAGCTGCTCAGTCCTCAGCGAGACAACGACCAATTGCCGTGGAGCGAAGTGGTAGTCATGGCAACTCCAATTACTCCCTATGGTGTAATCCTTTACTTCGCCCCATGTAATCCGAATACTTTGATTTATGTTTCGGCTTCACCTGAAGCGCTAATTACCTTAAAAAGATTCTCCCAATGAGTCTAAGTATACCGTTATCATTTGTTTCTTCTAAAATATGAATTTTAGTTTTCATGTCTATAATAAAGAACATCTTAAAAGTCAGGTATGCATAGCAAAACCTGAGAGGGTTTATAGAAGATGGAAACAGCTGCAAGGTCTGAAGAGTGGAGCCCAGTTCACGATTGCTTTGAACTTTAATGGCCAGCAGGGGCGACGCTTCTGGTTGTAAAAAATCCGATTTTACAAGTCTGTGGGAAAACCACCACCAATGTCCATTGACCTATGGCCTCTCTAAACCCTTCACTGATGTGCAGATGAGTTTATGTTAGTTTCAAACATAATGAATATATCAATATGTTCATTTTTTTAGTTAGGATCCCCATTAGAGTCATAAAGGCAGATAATGCAAGGCTATACCTTAAGCAGAGCATACTCTGAGCATTTTTGTTTGGTTGGTTGTTTGGTTTTGTTTTTTAATAAACACTGGATGGATGCATGGGTTCTTTTTAAAAAACAGTTTTAACTTTGTTGTATCATTATCAGAAGCATCGAATGTGTTAACAACAACAGCAACAATAATAGCAATATTGATTTTCACCAATTGTACATGTGGCTGTACAACAACTAAATACCAGACTCAAAACATTTCTTGTCTGTTGCATAAGCCAAAAAAGTATGTTTTTTTTAATAAATACATTAAATATGCACGAATCTCAACTGCATAGAGTAATAAATGTTCACCTTTTTTGCATTCCATTGTGCTCCCCCCCTCTTCCAAATGCAGTAAAATGAACAGACACCAACTATAATTGGCAGTAAGGCTGAGAGCAGACTTTCTTAATCCTCTGATGGATGCCATGAACCTTACCCATTATGTATCGTGTAGCATTAATACTAATGAGCTTAGCTACATATTATAGATACACTGCCACTAGGCCTACAACAAGAAGGGAGATTTGAGAGGTTGCTTTTAGCAACATGGGGTGCTGTAAATAATGCAATAGTGCAAGCTCCTTGTATAGTTTTGATTGATTGCGTCAAAAAATTGGTTTAATTTACAAGGATGTGTTCCAATGGAAATTTTCCACTTTAGTCATGAGAACAGGGTGATCTTGATGTATATTAAGAGTGTCTTGGTGTAAATTTGTTTTGGAGTCCCTCTTTTCTCTAGTATCCAACAACTGCTGAATGGTGCTTATTGTTCATATAAAACTCTAGAATCACTCATATCCACTGACTTCAGTGCAAACAAAGTGCAAATCGCAGAGCTGAAATAAATCTTTTAAACATGCTTACAAAAGGACTAAGAATTTTAAAAAAGACTATGTAAACAGATATTTCTATACTTTGACTTCTTTTTACATTAAGGAGAAAAGATTATCATGATGAATTTCCCTAAAGATGTTTAACTTCTAAGGCCTAGTTGGAAAAAAGTCATTCCAAGGTAAGGCTTGAATCACTGTGAGTGCAACCGCAAGCCCACAATGACACAAGGACCTCCACTGAGGCATGGGTAGCCTTGAAAGGCCTCCCTCCCCCTTTCATTGGCAGAGGTGATGATCTCACCAGATCTCAGCTCTGTAAACCTCTCCAGGAGGTAACAGCTCTATGGACCAAGAGAGCTCCACACACCCTGTCCACATCATCAGTTACAAATCAGTTCAGTGTGTGCCTAACAAAAATCATTTAGATTTGAAATGCAGTAGCAATACACTTTATATGCAACATGACAATAAATCATTGCTAATTTCAAAAAGTGTAAAAAACAAATATATAGGACATGCAGA